ACCTGGTTGGTTCTATGATTCTATGACAACCCGTGCTAGTGCCTCAGCACCCTCACAGGGAGGAATTCCTTCCCAGTATCCCATCTCACCCTGCCCTCTGGCAGTGTGAACATTCCTCCTTGTCCTGTCCCTCCAGACTCTTGGAAATAGTCTCTCTCCATCTTTCTTTTAGGCTCCTTCAGGTCCTGCAAAGCCACAATTTAGACATGTATCTGTATACACCAAAAATCTTCCTCTCTCTGTCTTCTTCTCTTGCATTCCCAAAGCAGATTGATATAACTTTCCATTTTAAATCATTTTCAGGACTTAAGCAGTTCTGACCTGATCAGACCAAAGATCAGCTTGGTGTGTCAGATTGTGAGGGTGGGACACATGGAGCTGAAGGATGGGAAGAAGCACACCTGTGGACTCCGGAGGCCCTTCGGGGTTGCAGGTAGGACAGATTCAATCCCTGCGGAGAACGGCACTGCCCAGGGACTGAGCCAGTGGGCTGGGAACTGGGAAATCTGTGCTGGAGGTGTCAGCAAAGCCTGTTGACCTCCCAGTGTCAGCATCTGTGCTTCCAAATGGAGGTGGTGGTGCTGAGTTATGTGTAGCACCCTCAGCCCTTTAATGAGGGTTGTGTATGCAGATGAAATCCTGTCACTGCTCACTTTTGTCACCTCCTAAAAAGGTAACACACTGCCATCAGTGCAGCAGATTTATCAGGTCCTTATCAAAGAGGGATCTGCTCCTCAGGGTTGATGGGATAAAGCTGGAGGTTTTCAAGGAGGATTGGTGGATGAGACGTGCAATTGCCGTTTGATTCCTGTGATCTCCTGTGAAGAGATTTGCTTGAAATTTGTGGTGGAAAACAAGTTCCAAATAAGCAGCATTTGAATATGATTTCTTTGCCTTGAAATATTGGGTCCCACATGGTTTTTGTCAGAGAATATTCCCATTCCCTACCGTGGGCTGAGACATCAATGGGAAGAAGCTTTTTAAACAGCTAAGAGCAGGGTGGTGCTCTCTGTAGCTGTCACAGAATCCCAGAATGGTTTGGACTGAAAGGATCTTAAAGCTCACCCAGTTCCCTCCCCTGCCATGGGCAGGTACACCTTCCTCTAGCCCAGGTTGCTCCAAGCCCTGTCCAACCTGGCCTTGTCATGAGTGGCCATTGTTGGTTCCATTCTGACAGGGAAAAGCTCTCTCTGTGTTCTTTAGCCACTGGACAGAACGTGATGAACTTGTGTCGTTGCAGTGATGGACATCACTGATATCATCCATGGCAAGGTGGACGATGAGGAGAAGCAACATTTCATCCCATTTCAGCAGTAAGTACTGCACTCAGAGTTCATCACATCTCTGGCTGATTAAAGCAGTTGTCCTTTGGAGAGGGACAAAGTTGTCTGGGAGCCTGGCAGGGTACCAAGGGCTCCACAAATAGATTAGTCAGCTCTTTGAAGGGAAAGATTTCTGTCAGTCTCTGAAGCCTTTGTTCCCCTTGGTTTATGTGTGTCTATGAGAGGCTCAGTTGCTTAGGGACTTTTGGCAATGCAGCTGAGATTTCTAGCTAACAGTGAGGTAAGAAAGAGGAGCACAGTGCAAAGTAATGTTGTGGGGTCTGAGGGTTGTGACCTTCAAAACGCTTCGGGGGTTTAGGAGCAGCATTTTGAGAAACACCTGAGCACAGAGACATCTCCTCCTTGCCACTGCTGTGTGCCACCCTGCTCTCTGCCTCTTCCCCTTCCAGATGAGCTTGTAAAGGTGAGTCAGAGAACAACAGGGAAGGGATTTCTCTCTCTTTCTGGGAAAGAAATTCAAGCCCCAATGTGTTCTGCATTTCTGCATTGCCAATTAGACTTGTGTTCTGCCTACTCCGGTGTCTCACTTCTTTGCAGTCATTAACATGAAGCTTGTTTGAGTAGACTGAGTCATGTTGTTACAGTCCTAAATATAGCAATGCCTTTGCTGCAGCCGTGTGTTATTGTAAGATATTTTTAGGGGAGATTGTGTCAGATTTTGTTTTCATTTCCCCACCCTTTCAAGGTCTCCTTTTCCTTTGCAGAAGAATGTTAGGCTGCTACTTCTGGAGTGGTTTTTTTGGTTATTATTTCTTTAGCGGCGTTTGTTTTGGATTGGTTGGTTGGGTTGGGTTTTTTCCCCATTTTTCTTCTGCTGTAATGAGCGTGAGTTTAGATCCACAGCTGGACACCTCTACAAGGATGGGGAACTTGTGGAGACATCATTTTTTATACCTTTATTGATGCTGTGTGTACAGGAGTGAAGCCAAGCTCAAAATCCAAAGCTGAATAGACCTGTTTGTGACTAGGGAGAGGTTCATCACTTAGGTGATTTCACAGCAGTCATTAATTATATTAACTTACCACTAATTAATCTATGTGACCTCGTAGGGACAGCTCTGAGCTACACCTGGAAACAGTGCTCAGGCCAGCAAGTCAGTGCTGTGCTAACCCTGGTGTATTTCCAAGTTTCGAGTTTCAATGTATTTCCATTGGGTTTGTGCAGATGAAGAAGCAAAATTTCCATGGAATCCTTTGATAAAGCCACATTTCTTTGGCAAACATCCGTGGGAGCACATGGCTGCTGGTAGTCTGTCTGCTTCCTGATCTGCACTGTTGTTCTCAGGATAGCCATGGAGACCTACATCAGGCAGCGACAGCTGATCATGTCCCCTCTGATAACGTCCCACGTGATCGGTGAGAACGAGCCCCTCACAGCTGTGTTCAACAAGGTCATCGCCGCAAAGGAAGTCAATCATAAAGGACAAGGTACAGCACTTTACCAAGAGCTGGTGGAAGAACCTGGGCTGGGGAAGGGCTTGCTGAGGGAAATAAATGGCTTGTGAAGGTCCAGAGATCAAGGCTTGGTGGAGGTTGCTCCAAACACGTGGTCTTTGTCATGGTTGTCACCTCGGCACACAAAGAGCTAAACACCAGATGAAAACAGGAGCTACTCTCTCTTGCATGATAAGAGCTTCTCTAGCTGATGACTTGCTTGCTAATAATGCAATAATTTGAAGATAAAACTCTTTATATGACCATAGAAGACTTTGAAGTAAACATAGTGGACGTGTTCTAAAGGGCTTTGGGGTTAAACTCATTAATCAGGATTCTTCTGTTCTTCCTTGTGTGTTTTGCCTTTCCTCAGCTACCCTAGAGATGCATCTCAGAAATTTGCATTTTCAGATAATCTTCTTGCCCATTAAAATCTTCCTCAGCATTAGGGAGATGGAGAGCTGGGCAAGAGAGAACCAGTTTGGGGTGTTTAAGGCACAGTTGCATGGAGATCACATGAAGACACAGTTGTTTGTAAGCACAGGCTTTATTTTCATGGGTTTGTACTTTCCAATAAACAAGCGTTATCTTCCTTTCCTTAGGTCTTTGGGTCTCCCTGAAACTTCTCCCTGGGGATCTAGCTCAGGTTCAAAAGGATTTTTCCCACCTTGTAGACAGATCAACTGCTGTGGCTCGCAAAATGGGATTCCCTGAGATCATCCTGCCTGGTAGGTCACATGTGCCTCTACACTTCCAAGAAGGGAAGGAAGCAGTTGAAATCCAAGAATTTCTGCTTTAAAAAGATTTATTTTAAAGCTATCTGAAAACTTTTAATCTTTCTTCAAATTTCCATATGATTTAGGGGTTTAGTCAAAGAAGTGAAAACATGAGTTTAATTTCTTCCTGAAAAATTAAGAGTTTATGGACTTTTAGGAAGAAAAGTCCTTTTAGTCAAAGAGATTTTTGTCACATGTAGGTTTAACCCTGCTGTATCTAATCCATTCAAAGTGGATTTAGCCCTGTAGAGCTCATTATATGTAAAAATCCATAAGTACAGAGGTTTGTAAAAAGGAAAATAGTTCATTTAAAAAGATTTTTGTATAATTTGAGGTGGAGATTAAATGGTGTATTATTGGGTGTGGTTAATTAGCTAAAGACTAAGAAGTTGATAAGGATAATGAGGTACCCAAGGACGTTAAATGTTAACCTGTAAAAGTGTCTGGAGGAGGAACACACTCCTTAAATGTTCTGAACTTCAGGTGATGTTCGAAACGACATCTACGTCACCCTGATACAAGGGGAGTTTGACAAAGGGAAGAAGAAGACTCCCAAGAATGTAGAAGTCACCATGTCTGTACATGACGAGGATGGAAATCTCCAAGAGGTATGATCACAGAATCATAGAACCATCAAGGTTAGAGGAGACCTCTAAGATCATCAAGTCCAACCATTAACCTGTCACTGCTGTAACCCCTAAACCAGATCTCCAGTGCCACATCCTGACACCTCTTAAACACCTCCAGGGATGGTGACTGCACCACCTCCCTGGGCAATACTCCAGTGCCTGAACACCCTAACAGGGAAAACACTTCTCCTAATATCTCCTCTGACTCTGCCCTGTCTCAGCTCAAGGCCATTCACTCTAGTCCTCTCCCTGCAGCCATGGCAGGAGAGACATCCCCCACCTCTCTCCAAGCCCTGTCAGGGAACCAAGCTCTCTACAAGGAACCTATAGAGAGCCGTGAGATCACCCCTGAGCCTCTTCTCAAGGCTAACCAGCCCTGGCTCCCTCAGCCCTTGCCCATATGCTCCAGCCCTTTGCTGCCCTCATTGCCCTTGGCTGGACTCGCTCCAGTGCATCAATGACCTTTGGGCAATGAGGGGCCCAAAACTGACCTCTGACAGTTGTGTGCTCTGAAAATTTATGACCCAAAGTACTTCTTGGAAAGAAACCAAATAAATAAATAAATATAAAAATAAAAATTCTAGGCCTTACCTTTCCTTTTCCCCTCTCCCCTTGTTTTTTGGTTTTTTTTTCAAAGAAAGCCATCCATCCTGGTGCTGGTTATGAAGGTGTCTCTGAATACAAGTCTGTGGTTTATTACCAAGTCAAACAACCTTGTTGGTATGAGACTGTAAAGGTAGGAGTGAGCATTTCCTGTCCTGCTTCCTCTGTGGAGAAAGCAGAGCTAATTTAAAAGCAGAAGGTGCATCCTGTAAAGTGACTGGAGCTGCATTTTGGTTGTATTCCCATGTGCAGGTGGCCATAGCAATAGAAGAAGTTAGTCGTTGCCATTTGAGGTTCACCTTCCGTCATCGCTCCTCGCAGGAATGTGAGTATCAACAGATCTGTGCTCTTTCCCCTCTCATTGAGATTTTCTGAGCATTCACCAAAGGTGTAACTCTTCCATTTCTACTCATTTCCAGTATTGTGGATTTTTTGCAAGTAACTCGTATTTCTTACAGCCTGAGTTTAGTGCTGGTTTTGTTCTAAAACTGACACTAAGGAGGAGCATGTTAGCTCCCTTGAAAGACAACTGTCAGTGCTTGTTATTGCTTTGGCTTCTCACTGGATGGTGCAGTTTGTAATTTACTTCAAGGCCTTCACAAAACTCAGTGCAAGACCTGGTGGGTTTCTAATAGTCCTCCTATAGGAGGATTTCTAATTAGGTTAATGAAAGGCTAGTGAGAAAGTTAGGGCCAGAAGTTCCATCAAAGGACTTCAGAGCCTTGAAACAAGATCAATAATGTAAGATTAAAGCCTTGAAAGGCTCTCAGACAAATTCTCTGAATGCATCTGGGAGCTGCAGTGGCACTTCCACATCCATTCGTCATGACAGGCAAAATCCCAACCAAAGTATCTGTACAGTTCGATGTCACAGAATCATTGAAGCTTTAAGATTTGAAAAACCTCTAAGATCGTGGAGCCCAACCAGTAATCTGTCCATCTAGCAGCACAATTAGCCACTAAAACTGTGTGGTGAGAGATGCTTCAGAGAGGATGTTTGTGTAATTGCAGTTACTTGCTAAGTACCTTGAGATTCTGTTCAGTAGAGAAGCTCCTGACACAGAGCACTGTGGACTGTGTGGGCATAAATGAGACAACTCCTAATAAAGATTTCTCTTTCTGTTTGCAGCCAGGGACAGATCTGAGAGACCCTTTGGCATGGGCTTTGTGAAGCTGATGAATGTAGATGGAACAACACTGCAAGATGGCAAACACAATTTGATTGTGTATAAGGTGACTTGGGCATTTGCAGTCTTGTCTTTTGTTTAACTAAGCAAAACACTCTCTTGGCTGACTTCTCCTAGCACTGGAAAGCTATGAAGTGTTTGTGTGGGAAACCTAAACTCTGTGGCTTGGATCACTCTGAAAATGGCTTAGTTCACTATCAACATGGGCAACTTATTGCCTAAAGTTAGAGGCCCAAACAGACAGGGTGAGGAAGCATTTATAGTCACGAAAAAGTGTTTCCAACCCATTCTGGCTGTCACTGTTGAAGTTATCTGCAGCTGAGAAGTGCAAGAGGTGAGCTGAGCGTGCTCAGTGTGAGATAACCTTCTCTCTGCTGTGTTAACCAACAGGGTGATAACAAGAAAATGGAAGATGCCAAATGCTATTTGACTCTTCCTTGTACCAAAATGGAGATGGAGGAGAAGGAAGTTCCTTCAGGGAAGAATCTGCACCATGTAGCCAACTTCACCCCCACTAAAGACAGCACTAAAGACAGCTTCCAGATTGCCACTGTCATCTGCTCCACCAAGCTGACGCAGAATGGTAGGTTTTTGAATGTATTTTGAAGGGAGGAAGGCACTTGATGCAAGTGTTTTGGCATGTATGTGTGGCCACAGTGCTTTAGGTTTCACTTACATGTGTCAATGGCAGCTCTGTCCCAGCACTGTTGGCATCATGTTGCCAGTACAAGCTGCAAAGATGTTTGTGCCACCACTAGAGACCACATGACACGAATATTGTATCCAGACTGTGGATGTTAAACGGGTTCATTGGCGTGTGTAGAAGTGGCACCTGTCACGTTTTCTCACAATTATAACTGTTGAAAGTAAATTATCTTCTCTCCTGTGTCTGTTAAGAGTACAGCAGTTAGAACTGAACTCTGTTGTGTGTGAGCTCTGCCTTACATACTGCCAAAAGGCTCGGAACAAAGAGTGATGTATATATGGGAGTGAATACACATGCTGAGAAATGGTAGGAGCTTTCCAGTAGCTCTGGAAGGCTCTTGGGATAAGTCATGCACTCTCATAAAATTCCTGGCTTTCCGTAGCTCCTCTTGAGTGCAAAATTGCCTCCAAGTGCCTTGTGTTATCAGGTAGCACCAAGGCTTCCATTTATAGCCAAACTCGACTTACCTGCCAAGACAAAAGAACCACCTCAAGGTAATACTTATCAGGGTGATTTTTCCTTGTACACCGATTCCAAAAATAGCCTCTAGACTTACTCTGCAGCCGTTAAGTCAGCAGTGGTGGTGTAATTGCTCATTGCTGCTGTTCTGTCCTTGCCAGTTGACCTGCTGGGTCTTTTGAACTGGCGCTCCAACTCGCAGAACATCGCTCACAACCTCAGGAAGCTCATGGAGGTGGAAGGAGGAGAAATTGTAAAGGTATTCATAGAGATTTGAGTCTTTGTTACACAAACTCGCATGTATGTGCCTGATGTTGACCTGGAAGGATTGTAAGCATGTTGTACCCAAAAGCTGTCTAGGTAGGCTGGGAGAGCAGTTCTAGGAGAATGAATAGAATCATGGAATGGGTTGGGTTGGTAGGACCTTAAAGCTCATCCAGTTCCACTTCCTGCCATGGGCAGGGACCCCTTCCACTAGTCCAGGTTGCTCCAAGCCCTGTCCAGCCTGGCCTGGGACACTCCCAGGGATGGAGCAGCCACACCCTGTGCCAATGGCTCAGCACCCTCATTAGTGGAATCCACCAGAACTACAGAAATTAAATGTCACCAGGCTCAGGGAGATAGTGGTGGCTTTGTTTTCCCCTGGATCCTTATGAAATAAAAGATACACTCAAAGCCCAATTTAACTTTCAGTGGTGGCTCAGGACCTCTTTGCGAATGAGTCCACTCACTGTGGATCTAGGAGCAGAGTGCATGGAAGGCCCAGAGAGCTTAGAGTACTGTGGGAATTGGGTCTGAAATGAGAGGAATTCCCACAGAAAACAGTCTGTTGAAGGATTTAGGAGGATTTCTCCTCCTAAGAGTCGTTCTAAGTGTGAATCTGTTGGGATTTTGCAAGGTCATGGTTTTACTTAACTGCTGGACAACTGAAGTCCTTGCTGTGTCATTGCAAACCAGTCAGTGTCCAATGTCACACCTTAGTACAGGATGTAGTTAGAGTATTCAGTAGGTCTCTTGCAAGACAAAAAGGCAATAGAACAGCAAAATTGGGCTGTTCAGAGCTGGTAGGATCTTTATTGCTCTAGTGATGATCATAAAAAGCATGTGCATGAACACAGGACCAAGTTCCCTTTTCAGATGTCCTTTCATGAGCAGCTTTGGCAGTTCAGCTGGGCTAGGCTGGAAGGGGGAAAATAATCCAAATGCTGCTCTTGTGCAGCATTCCATGAGTAGTTGTCTTTCCCCACCCTTTCACTCTGACTTTGTTTTCCCTCTAGTTCTTGCCAGACACCCTTGATGCACTTTTCAACATCATGATGGAGATGTCAGAAAATGAAGCCTATGACTTCCTTGTGTTTGATGCTCTGGTGAGTGACTCTTCTGTGGATTGAGAGTGGTTTTCAGCCCCATTTTCAGTCTGTTCCTGGTGATTCCTTCAGCTGAGCAATTGGTATTTTGCTCTGAGAAGTCAGTTCTATTTGAACACTTCTTAAGGCATTCTCAGGCCTAGGATTGAGATACACATTGAGCTTTTCAGTAACAGTGAAAACAGTCATTAATGTTGCAGGCACCACATTGTTTAGTCACTATTAGAATATGAAAAACACTCTGCAGCATTAATGCAGTTAGTAAAACAAACAAAAGCTACCACCCAGCAAAATACATGACATGGAATTAGAGGCTGAGTTCTGTTCCAGTTAGAGACTCTGAACATCTGTTTCCTTTTAAATTTTTGGCAGGTATTTATTATTTCTCTGATTGGAGACATCAAGTTCCAACATTTCAATGCTGTCCTTGAGACTTATATTTACAAGCACTTCAGTGCAACCCTGGCATATGTGTGAGTATTGCTGAGCACAAACCATGGTCTGTCAACCACCACTGATAGTTTTGGTGAGCTATGGTAATGTGATGATGAAGGCAGCAGAGACCAGAGAGTTCCATTGCATTCTTTCCTGCTTTCAGGAGAGAAAGAAACCCTGAAATTACTATTTCTACCCCATGAAAAGATTCTCTTGTAAGGTTGTTTTTTTCTGTGAGGGAAAGACACGTCTGTCATGGGTCTCTTGACTCTTCAGCTCCTTGATCTAACAGCCCTCAACCCCAAAGCCCATCACCCTCAGCTAAAAAGTCAACACTGAGGCCAATAGGGAGGGCAAAACTAGAACCCAAACTTGGTTTCCCCTCTAAAAATCTCTTCTTGTTCTTATTGAGCCACATGAATTCCTGGTCCTGAGTACTCAGCACCATTTTCTGACTGTCACCCTAAACGTAAATGATATGAGGAAACACAGTTCCACCAAGCTCTGAAGTCCTCATCTCCTGGATTGCATTCTCCTTCCCTGCCACGCAATCACTGCTTCCCTATGATTTCCTTTCCTTCTTCCCTGTAACCTATGGAAGAATTCTCCTTATTTCTCCTCAGTATAAATGACTTGTTTGATTAATGACCACATGTACCTTAGCTGTGTTGTACCCTTGCTTTCCTTTCCAGCTTAGCCTGACGTGATATCTGCATGATGCCAAGTGAACTGTAATATTGCATATCATCCTTCTTGTGTTGCCCGTGCCAGAAGTTGGGAAAGGAGGGAATTGGATGCTGGCAGTGTGCCCAATACAGCAGCAAGTGCAAAGTTGTTGTGTACCTGGCAGTCTCACGCACCATGTTGAGTGCTGAGAGTTCATTAATGAAGAGGATTTTGCCTGAATATTTGCTGTTGTAGCACGCTCAGAGGATTCTGATCCTTTGATGTGGCAGAGACTGGATAAAAAATACTCATAATGTGTTTATGCCACTTGTGTGCAGTTCAGAATTGCTTCAGAAGTTTGTGCTCCACGTGAGAGTGCTGAAAATGGGAGAAGGTGTCAGTCACTTTCAGCGGGGATGGGTTCTCCATTTTCCTGAACCTTTGATTTCAGAGAGAAAACAAAGCAGATCAAGAAGATGCAATTTGTGGACAGATTTGTAGGCTTCTCTGAGAATTCATGGCCTGGTTATGAAAATCTGGCAGCCCTGAAGCCAAAGATTTGAAAAGGAAATGGGCTGTGAGGAGGAACCTGTGTCGATTATCTGTGTATTAGGCTGTACTTCCTCCCTGGGATGAGGAAGTTGGACTTACCCAGGAACTGAACTGGGTCTCTAGTAGTTCTCCTTTTCTCCTTTTATTTCTGAAGGAAACTCACCAAAGTACTGAACTGTTACGTGGGAAATGCTGAGGACTCCAGCAAGACAGAAGTGCTCTTTGCTGCCCTGAAAGCCCTGAAGTACCTGTTCAGGTTCATCGTGCAGTCACGGATGTTGTACGTGAGGTGAGACCAAGTCCATCACCATCCTTGGGGCTCCTTTAGGAAGTCAGGGCGGTTACTTCCACTCAACACCACTGCAGGAGATATTCTTCACCATGTCCTCTAATTCTTAAGAGGATCTTTCTGCTCTTTGTCTGCAGCTTGAACAAATAAGTTGAGGAAAAAGTGGAAGATCACATTTGAAGAGGAGGATCCTTTTGGTCACCTCTTGTGTGGAATAAGCAGCACATGGTAGAGCTGAAAAGGAGCCCAGTGTTTGTTTAAATAGGGGAAAATATGGAATGACTTCCTCATTTTAAGAAAGTTTAAGCAACAAAGACATACAGTTAATTGTTAGGGGAGGTGAGGATGACACCTTCTCCAGTTGGGCTGTGGTCAGTGACAGTGGGTTTACTGTAGCCTCAAAACATGTTTTCAGGGATTTACAATGAGTGTTTGGAATCTTTTTCTTAGGTTCATTTTAGCTTTTTGTGGTTTAATACCCAAGGAGCACCTTGATTGTTGGAACCCAAGCAGATTTTGCTGTCATGGCAGTTTAAA